GTTCTGGGATATAGGGATGTGTGGAAGGGCCCTCAGTAGCATTCACATATATGCATGTGCACTCAAACAACTTACCTTCACAGTGATTTTGACTGATGCCATAACAAGATGAGTACATTCTTCTTTCCATTCACTCACTACGTGGCCTCCCAGCTGACGAATATTTTTATTTATCAGACTTTTCTGTGAAACATCTAAGCATGAGGAGCAAACAACCAAAGGTTGATATTCTACCCTGCAAAGTACAGCAAGAAAAAAAGGGGGGAGTTGGAAATAAATATATAGCAACATATTATTTCACCATAAGTGAATGGGGATATTGAAAGAAACACTCAATATATAAAGTACAGAATGCTCTTACCTATACTTGCTTTCAAAGACTCCAAAAGTTACTCTGTCACCAGATTGCAATGTTCTAGGAATACCATTTGTTAGCTTTTCTTCATTAACAAAGGTACCATATTTAGATAAGTCTTTTAAAGTTAACACAGGAAGTGAAGAAGTCTGGCTCTAAAAACATAAAATGTCAGATATGAAAAACAACTCTTCATTTTATTCACAAGTTGGCCAAGTTTTTACATGTTCCATATATTTTCTTTATGGCTCAAAGTCTATTTTGCTAATATGGTTTTCAAAATTCCCACTATATCAACATATAACATTGCTTAAATAATAGTTTATTTAAAAAAGAGAACATGGCAGTATCTTGTAGCCACTACAGCATTTACATGAACATTTTATTTTTTTATGTCCAAAGGTATGGATCAGGGTAAAGCATGTTCAAAGTCAATTCTCCTTGATGCTCAAATGTCACCCCATACATCAAACACTCTCAAAAATTCAGAGACGTAGAACTGCCAATCATGTCCTTGTAAACATAAATGGAACTGGTGTCAAGAAATAAGGGCCATATAGAGCAGTGTTTCCCAAAGTTTGATTCTCTGGATGTTTTGGATTTTGGCTCCAAGATTTCCTAATCACTGAATAAACTAGATGGGGCTTTTGGGAACTGAAATTCTAAACACCAGACTGACCAAAGTTTGGGAAACACTGCTCTAGAGGGTGTAATCCATAGCTTCAGGCAAAATAATTTTTAGGGAGGGAACGACAGACTAGAAGAGTAGATGGACCCCTCCAAAATCCCTAGACACCAAGAAGATGCCTACTTTGGTGTAGATCAAATTTCCGTTCTCCAGGTGTTTTGAACTTTGGAATTGTGGGAGTTGAAGTCCAAAACACCTGGAGGGCCGAAGTTTAGCCATGCCTAGTATAGATGCTTCAGTGGAATGAATACATAGATAGCTATACAATTTAATGTACCTTTAGCCTAGTAACCACTTTGATCAATTTATATCTGTACAATTGACGGTCCACATTTGCAATTTTGACTTTTGTGGATATCATTATTTGCAGATTTGATTAAGGTATTCTCTCTAAAAAATTCCAAGTCCTCCAGTGTGACTCTATAGTCAACTCATACACACCATGGAAGCTTACAGTCATATCTACAAATACCATGTTTTACTGAGAGTGTGTTAGATAGATCTGTATTATATTAATCTAAAAAACTGACAACAGCAACCAGTTACTTATAATAATAATAATAATAATAATAATAATAACAATAATAATAATAATAATAATAATTTTATTTTCGTATCCCATTTCCATCTCCCCAAAGGGACTCAGGGCGGCTTACATATGACACAAAGTGCTAAAACAAAACATAAAATAAAGACACAGTACAATACAATAAAGTAAAACTATAGCACATAAAACAACAATTTAAAACTGGGAACAATGCCCACTGACCTCTGGTGACAACTACTGTAAGACATGGCCAAACTGTAAAGAAGACAAGGGAATGGAATAGTGCAAAATGTAGCTAAGGAACAACAGCATGGGATGATATTTAATTGCGAACCATTGGGGCTAGACGTTCTCAAAGGCTTGTTGAAACATCCAAGTCTTCAGATCCCTACAGAAGGAGGACAGTGTGGGGGCCTCCAGAGCCAGGGGAGTCACCACCGAGAAGGCCCTTTCCCTCGTTCCCACCAATCACGCTTTTGATGGTGACGGGACTGCCAAGAGGGTCTCCACAGCAGATCTTAACACTCACACAGGTTCATAGAGGGGAATGTGATCCCAAAGATAAACAGAACTTGAAGGGTTTAGGGCTTTATAGGTAATGACATGCACTTTGAATTGAGACCGGAGACTTATGGGCAGCCAATAGAGCTGCTTCAATAGGGGCTTTGTGTGCTCCCTATAGCCAGTTCCAATTAGTTGTCTGGCTGCCGATCTTTGCACCAATTGCAGGTTCCAAGCTGTCTTCAAAGGCAGCCCCATGTAGAGTGCATTACAGTAATCCAATCTTGATGTAACTAAGGAATGGACCTTACTTATGCCCTCTAACAGGTTTTATAGTTTGAGTTGGACCTATTATGTTTTGTATTCGCACAACAAATTGTATGACAGAAGTGGTTCATAGGGAAAAAATATTCATAAATTCATTTGTAATAATATATTAGGTACTTACAAGGTTCACTTGAGGTTGACTAACAGAAAGGACTGCATGACTTCGGCTAATTGACTGGTCATCCTGAATTAAAATGGCACAATTCTTGCGTCCAACAACATACTCAACGCCAACTAAAAGGTGATACAGCTGTCCTAAAATTGAAGATAGAATTAAAATTAGAAGAAAAATCAAGACCTGGCTTTGGGACCAAGAGTCCGATTAGTGAGCAGCAAGTAAAAGATTTTAACACTTATGGCAATGATTTGACCCGGACTGGATTTTAGACTCTGATTTTAATTAATTGTTTTAGTTATTGTTTTAATATTTTAATATTTAATGTATTGTTGATTGCTTTTTTAAGATGACACCGTATGGTGTTTGTGAGGCCACCCTGAGTCACCCCTCAGGGGTGGGAAGGGCAGGATATAAATATAGGAGGAAAAAAATATCGTGTCAGGAGCGACTTGAGAAACTGCAAGTCGCTTCTGGTAGGAGAGAATTGGCCGTCTGCAAGGACATTGCCCAAGGGACTCCCGGACGATTTGATGTTTTTATCATCCTTGTGGGAGGCTTCTCTCATGTCCCCGCATGAGAAGCTGGAGCTGATAGAGGGAGCTCATCGGCCTCTCCCTGGATTCGAACCCGTGACCTGCCGACACAGGGGTTTAACCTACTGCACCACCAGGAAGTATAGGAAATAAATAAATAAGATAACTTTAAAAATTCATCTAAGATGGAAAAAATAAGTATTACTCTATATATTTTTTAAAAATGTACAGCAGAACGACTGTAATATTGAAACTAAAAAAACAAAACATTTAATACTGACACATGAAAGTATGCAGAATCTAGAGCAGGGGTCCTCAAACCTTTTAAACAGAGGGCCAGGTCACAGTCCCTCAAACTGTTGGAGGGCGGATTATAATTCCTATGCACACTGCACATACTGTATCTTATTTGTAGTGCATAAAAACACACTAAAGCAATACAATAATTAAAATGAAGAACAATTTTCATAAATCTAAACTTAGTATTTCAATGGGAAGTGTGGGCCTGCTTTTGGCTGATTATTGTCGTTGTTGTGTGCTTTCAAGTCCTTTCAGACTTAAGTTGACCCTGAGTGAGGGCCGGGTAAATGACCTTGGAGGGCCGCATCTGGCCCCCGGGCCTTAGTTTGAGGACCCCTGATCTAGAGTCCTGCATAAATATCAGAAAATATGCATATTTACCATTAAATAATACTAATAAACTTTATTTTTGGACCGTCCTATCTCAGGAAAGGGCCTGAGGCTGTTAGGAATTGTGGGAGTTGAAGACCAAAACATCTGGAGGGCCAGATTTTGCTCTACATTGTACAATTAATGCAGTTTGACACCACTTTAACAGCATTAAAATCCTGGGAGTTATATTTTGTAAGGCCTTTAGCTTTCACTGCCCCAAAGTGCTACTGTCTCACTAAACAAATCCCAAGATTCAATAGTCTGGAGCCATGACAGTTAAAGCGCTGCCAAACTGCATTAATTCTGCAGTGTAGATGCATCCCCACTCACTCCAGGCGTCCCCCCTCACCTGGGCCTCCTTGGGCTGCTGGACCCAGTTTCCACATCCTGAAGCGAAGGCTTTTCCCGGCTCCTCCGCCTCGCCTTCCCGGCCTTTTTTCCACAGGCACTCCTTCCCTTCAGGAAACACGGGAACCCCGCCCACCGGGTGCGCATGCGCTCTGCTCGCAACTCTCCGGCACCAAGCTCGGCATTCGTGGCGAAAGAGCGCCACCTATGGACAAAACTTAATTGTGAACTTCAACTCCCAGAATGCCTCACTATAGGCCACGCTGGCGAGCGCTTCTGGGAGCTGTAGTCCAAAGTATTTGCAGCGCCAAGGGGTGAGAAATACCGCTTCTAGGAAGTCAGTTTAGAGATGCTCCAATGAGGAGAAAAGGGGCGTGGCCACCTCCTCCGTTTTGAGGGGTGTGGCCACAGTTTGCCCTGCCCCTTCGCTCTGATGGAATGAACATGGGAGGGCGGGGCTTGGGGGCGCCTTGACCTATCACAGTCTTTCTGCCCGACTCTTTAAGCCCGGCCCGCCCCTTCGCTCTGATTGGACGCAGATGGAATGAAGGCGTGGCTTAAGGGATATCTCTGGTTTCTCCCTACCTGTTGGGGGCGCCTTGACCTATCATACTCTTTCTACCCGACTCTTTAAGCCCGGCCCGCCCCTTAGCGGCTCTTCGCTCTGATTGGACGTAGATGGAATGAAGGCGTGGCTTAAGGGATGTCTTGGGTTTTTCCCTGCCTGTCAAATAAAGGGAGGGGTTAGCTCGCCCTTCTCTCTGATTGGACATTGTAGCAGGGGGCGGGGCGTGTGGGCCTCCTCGCATTCCTCTCTTCCTGACGAAATGTTGGAGGTTGGCTCGCCCCGCCCCTTAACGGCTCTTCGTTCGGATTGGATGCTGGCGGAATGAGGGCGGGGCAAAGGAGACGCCTTCTTTTCCCCTTCTCCCTTCCTATTGGCTGAGAGTCAAAGGAGTGAAAATGGCGATGTCTGTCAGTTGCAAGTTGGGGAGCCGCTTAGTCCCGCGGTTGTTTTCCACGCCAGTGCGGGTAAGGGCCGCTTGAGCAGGCATTGGTTGCATCCACACGGACGCCGCTTCAACCGAATTGGCTCAATGCTATGGAATGCTGGGAGCTGTAGTTCTGTGAAGCACCAGCACTCTTGGACTGAATACCATGTATCAAACAAACTACAACTCCCAGGATTCCATAACAGTGAACCATGGCAGTCAAAGTGGAATTGAACTGCATTAATTCTATGGTGTAGATGTTCTTTAGGATTTTGGAATATTTGGATATTCAACGTGAGTTATTTTAGAGAAGGACACATGTAATTCATATATGTTTCATATATATAATCAAATATATATAATGCAGCCCACTGAGCTGCTGAACTTGCTGACCGAAAGGTTGGTGGTTTGAATCCAGGGAGCTCCTGCTGTTAGCCCCAGCTTCTGCCAACCTGGTAGTTTGAAAAAATGCAAATGTGAGTAGATCACTAGGTACCACTTCGACGGGAAGGTAACGGCACTCCATGCAGTCATGCTGGCCACATAGCCTTGGAGGAGTCTATGGACAACGCCGGCTTTTTGGCTTAGAAATGGAGATGAGCACCAACCCCCAGAGTCGGACACGACTGGACTTAATCTCAAGGGGAAACCTTTATATTTTTGTATAATCATAGTCTGAAGATAATTTTAGGTGCCATGTTTTAATTTTTTTTTCTGCACGAAACTAATTTTGTGTATGTTGAAGCATCAAAAAACAAAGGTCCCGCTGTCCCAGACACCCAAGAAAACAACATTTGAGATTTTGAAGTATTTGGCATTTAGGAAATCTGGATAAAAGGATCCTCAAGTCATGCTAGCAAGAACACATAAATTTTTCCTATTGTTTTAATGGCATCAAACCTAGATGACTTAAGCTTCGCAAAATGTAGCGCTAGTGCGAGAGTACCCGTCATCTTAAGCAGGGCCTTAAACTCTTAAAGGGGGAAATTGTGGGTTTATTTATTTATTTATTTATTTTGGAGGGCTGGAACATATTAATAGCATTTCAATGGGAAAATTTGCTTTGGCCTACAAACACATTTTTTAGTTACTAGCATGATCGCATGATCTCAAGCACGGCTGGTGGGAACAAGAAACAGGGGCCCCGCCTATGGAACTCCCTCCCAAAAGAATTAAAAACTGTTCCTTCACCTTTAAAAAACTGCCGAAAACCCACCTGTGCATTTTGGCATATGGAGAGAAGGAAGATTAATATGCCTGACGTATACTCTTGCCCATCAACATTAAATCTTGTCTAGTGACTGGAGCTGGCTTTAGCCCACTGGTTGTTGCACAACATGTCGTCCTTTATAAAGTTTTAGTTATTGTTTTCATTCTTATTTAGTGTTAAATTGATATTAATTGTTATATCTGCATAGGTTATTTAAGTTCTTATTGTCAGCCGCTTTGTATTTTATTAAGTTCAGAGTTAGGTTGCTTTTATAATGTTTAATATGATTGTCTTGGGGTTTGAATGTTTTTTCCTTTGCATTTAATGTTTGCCATACATGTGGGAAATGGTCCTGAGTCCCCTCAGGGAGATAAGGCGGTCTGCAAATAAAGTTGTTTATTATTATTATTATTATTAGTTAAATTAATATGTCAAAGTATTACTGTATTATGTATTATATTATATGTAATGTATATATATATATAGGGCATGAACAAACTTTTTGACGTATTACATTTTAAACTTGACAGACAACCCAGGCCAGTGGAAGATGGATGGATTAGTCTGTGTGAACTAATTGGGGGAAAAAATAACAAATTCCTATGCACACTACACATACCTTGTTGGAACGAAAGAACAATATATTAGTTAAAATGAAGAACAATTTTAACCAACATAAACAGTATTTCAGCTGATGACCCTAGGAGCCATCTAGTCCAACCCCCTTCTGCCATGCAGGAATAGCACAATCAAAGCACCCTCAACAGATGTCCATCCAGCCTTTGTAATAATAGGGCTCTGTGGCACACGCGTTAAGAATCGCAGATTACACTGTCAAATTAATGAAGTTTGGCATCACTTTTACCACTATTCAGTCGTGGGAGTTGCAATTTCATAAGTTTTTTAGCCTTCTCTGGCAAAAAGAGCTGGTGCCTCACGAAACTACAAATCTCATGATTTCATAGCACTAAGACAGGGCAGCTAAAGAGGTGTCAAACTTCATTGATTCTGTAGTGCAGATGCACCCATAGACTATTGATGATAGAGTGGGTCCTCGGTATCCACTGGAGTTTGAATTCAGACACCCATAATTCAGCAATACTTAAGTCTCCATACACTGTATTATGCAGTGGTGTAGTAAAATGTGCACATTGGCAAAATCAAGGTTTGCTTTTAGCAATCTTGGGGAGACTGTTTTCAGAAAAATGTTTTGGAGCATACAAGAACAACACAGTTAACAAAAGCTCATTTTCACTAAATTCTGTAGCACTCTATATGGTACACTAGTGCACCATTTGATAAGTTTTGAAGCAGCTGTTCATGGTATTCTGCTACACAAAGTAGCAGAATATTTTTCGCAACTTTAAGCAGCAATTCCTTGGATCCAATTGTTGTTGATAAGTTAGTTTCTCATTGATTGCACTGAGTTCAGAGTTCTTTCTTTCAAAAGTCATTGTGGCAAGGTTGAAGGACATAACCTTTGAATAGTTTGTTTACACTGAGTTTCTAGGCAATCAGCTTGAAACTCATCAAAAGTACATAATTTGAAAATTCTCCTTTCAAATTGATTCAATTTGCAGGAGACATGGCTAAGATCAGACTTCTTGAATACAGTCCTCAAAATGTGTTTCCAAGGCTGCATTACAGAGTTTGGTATAGTATATCACATATTGACACACACAAAAGGACTAAGAATTTGGGGTTTGTATGTAGAAAGCTCAAATGAACTGGCAGAAAGAATACAATACGAATTAGAAAGTTCCTAATTGTTCCTGCCCTAAACTTACTAGGGAGCGGTAGGCAGGATACCACCTCGGCATCAGTTTCCCATATGCAGTATTTACATATATATAATGGTTTTGTCTTTCATGGTTGTCATAAAGATTGCAACTAGATAATAGGTGTGAAACACTAGAGTCGTTTGTAATTGCTACACAAAATGTTATTATATAATTTTGTTGTAATTGCTGCCATTAGTGCAGATTCCTTATAGTTGGTCTGTAATTTAGATGAGCATGGAACACCCCACAGACTGCTTTTGGCTCCTTGAAACATCACACATTTTAGAAGATTGGAAGAATTTCAATTTTTGCTCCCAAATTAATGCCTACCTCCCACCCCCCAAATGCATGAACACATAATAAAAGTAGCCCATCTCCATAAGCCCCTTAGTTCCCATACTATCCTCAAATACAATAGAGGTATTATTGCATCACTTCCTGTTGCCAGTTTAAGAAAGGCTGCAGAAGAAAACAGTAATATAGTCACCCATCCACATTTTCGGTTTTGACTTTTGCATATTTTGCTATTCACAGATTTGATAAACACAATATCTAGTAATTTCTTTAGTATCGAATCAACATCCTCGAGCAAACCACATACAACCTATTACAATGCAGCTTGAGCCCTGCCACATGCACAATGGAGGACCTTCTCATAGCAACACCAGAGGTACTCCCAGTGGCCAATTACTGGTCAAGGACATTTAATAAAATGCCAGGTTTTTAAATGTTTTGTTTTCTCTAATACATTGGTTTGCTCCTGATACGATAAATATAAATAGTACAATTATGTGGGTAGCTTCCAGTGGGAATTGACCATAGGGTCATGCTGGAAGACCTAGAAATTCCTAGAGAAATATAGCAATTTCTTTATTCATAGTTCTTCACTTTCATTGGGCTCCTGTGCACTTAACTTCGGTGGATGTGGAGGCCTGGCTGTATTTGGATTTCCTGGAAGGTCCACAGTTGGACCTGGGAAGTAAATTTAGCCACTGGTCTCCACACAACACAATAATGGCAAAACCCACAGCAAAATTATCTAGTTGTTCTGTAGTTGAGAATGAGATTTAGACTATAATACATACATGGGAAACTCAAATTTATCTCCTGTTTATCTTTCAGCAACTCAGTCATGGAACACAAGTAATGTACCAAGCTGACGGTCCTCAATCCGCCTTCTTCTCTCCTGTTAAGAAAGTAATGTTACCACCAGACGCTTTCCATGGAAAGGTGGCTTTTATCACAGGTGGCGGCACAGGTCTTGGGAAAGGAATGGCAAGCGCTCTTTCTAGCATGGGAGCAGAGTGTGTGATCGCAAGCAGGTAAATACCTTAGCTTTCTGTTTTAGAGATTGTAAGAGCCGTAGCAAACTACTGGAAGCGAGAGCGAGCTTGTGCTCGAGCTCGCTCCGAAGCCCCGCCTTTTTTCCCCCGAGGCTGCTCTCTCTCTTGCTAGTGTGCCTGTTTTCCCTTGCTAGGGAAGCGATGCGAGTGTACTCTCACAGTTGGCAGAATTCAACTGTGAGCGTACGCTCGCATCCCTGCCCTCTGCAACGGAAAACAGGCACGCTAGCAAGAGAGAGAGCAGCCTCAGGGGAAAAAAAGGCGGGGCTTTGGAGCAAGCCCGAGCGCAAGCTTCCTGTAGTTTGCTGCGGCACGAGCGTATGCTCGCAACGCTGCCCTAGCAAAGGGAAATAGGCGGAGAAAGAGGCGGAGCATCGCTCGTGCTGGCTTAGTTTGCTCTCGCAAAATCCTAGTTTGCTATGGCTCTTAGTATACAATGGCTCACTCCTGTGTGCATTGAACACAGTAAGCTTATTCCCGATCACGCAATTAATATTTTCATTTTTTAAGCTACTATATTCCATTAAAGCAGGGGTGGGGAAAGTGTGGCCCATGGGCTTTTTGTTTTTATAGTTTTTTTGTAAACTCCAAATGGTACCAAAGTCATATAAAGACATCTGCAGGGATCAAAACATTTTGGAAAACATTTTTTAAAAAAATCTTTTGGACTTAAAATTTCCTCTAACAGCCCAAGGTGGCTTAAAATGGGCAAGTACATCCCCTAAAGAATGTCTAGGAGCATTTTGGGCATGGTGATGAAGAAGAAGATCATGATAGGATGCAGTTCCTCAAAGTTTCCCACAGGGTTAATATGAATATGAATATGAATTCAATGATCAATGTGCTGGAAATTGACAGTGAAGCATAACTATGTGAAAATTTACTTTTCATTACCATATACCATGTAACATGATATTTGTTCCTGTGTTATAAATGCCATTTCTTAATTGGTTCTATCATTTCTAAACACATGGGAAATGTTTATTAAACTGCAAAGGATATCCTTCAGCATATTTTGCTATAATTTTTTAATGAATATCTCATAGAGTCTCGACCAATTCAACATAGTTTGTGGGAGTCACAAAAACAAAGTTTCTGGAGTTTAACAACTACTTTCAAAGTAAATTCGGCAAAATTAAACAGGAAATAAGACTTTCAAACCAGGAACTGTTCCCCCCCCCCCCAATTTTGTTACATAGTATTATATGAAGCAATATAATACAAAATGATTTTGCGTAAGTAAAATTCCTTTTATGTTTTTACCTTATATGTAATGAGCTTATATTATATAATGGAAACAAAAATATAATATAATTATTTGTAGGAAACTTGATGTATTGAAGCAAACTGCGGAAGAAATTTCTTCTAGAACAGGAAATAAGGTATTGTTTAACCTTGTTTTAATGTGAGCGTAAGAATATACTTCAAAGTCCTCATCAGATTTTGTATTTGTTTCCTCCCCACCTTCTGTTGATTGTGATAATACTGGTATTTTTATATATATATACAGGTTCATGCAGTTCCGTGTGATGTGAGAGACCCAGCTTCTGTCAGCGATGCTGTTTCACAGTTAATTGATGTAGCTGGACATCCCAGTGTAAGTGCCCAACAGAAAACTAGTCAATGCTGGAAATATCCCATATAGTGTGTGTATGTGTGCGCCCTCTAACCAAAGACAGGGAAATGGTACTATTTTTTATTTATTTTGTATCAAACCATTGCATAAATTAGTATAAAACTGATAAAAATAGAAGGAACACAAGTGACTAAATATATTTTGGAAAAAAATGGGCAACCGTGACCACATTGTCTGTAGCCCTAACAATTCTTCCTCTGCACTATGTTGATTTACACAAAAACACTTTAATGACAAGATGGGTAGTAGTTGTTACACTTTAATTCTAAATTGGTGTTTCATTAATATTTCATTACTATTTTTTGTTACTTACTGAAATGAGAGATTAGAAAATACCCATCTGTGATTTTATTTACCCTGCTCAGTCCTCATTTTGAGCCTGGGAGAGAGGAAAACAACTGCATGCATTTTTGAGATCCATTTCTCACCCATCCATACCAACAAAATGGAATACGTAATGGTAAAAATACATAGCCTCAGGAAAGATGCAGGAAGATATGTTTCTTCAACAGCACTACTTCACTAAGTTATAAGGCGAAGATGATGCAATTACTAGGAAAGCTGGTCTAGATTGTATCTCTAGACCAGGAGTCCTCAAACTAAGGCCCGGGGGCCAAATACGGCCCTCCAAGGTCATTTACCCAGCCCTCGCTTAGGGTCAACCTAAGTCTGAAACGACTTGAAAGCACACAACAACAACAACAACAACAACAATCCTATCTCAGCAGCCAAAAGCAGGCCCACACTTCCCATTGAAATACTAATAAGTTTATATTTGTAAAAATTGTTTTCATTTTAATTTTTGCATTGTTTTAAAGTACTTTTTTGCACTACAAATAAGATATGTTCAGTGCGCATAGGAATTCATTCATTTTTTTCAAATTATAACCTGGCTCTCCAACAGTTTAAAGGACTGTGACCTGGCCCTCTGTTTAAAAAGTTTGAGAACCTCTGCTCTAGACCTTGCAGCTCTGAAACAGCCAGTATAAACCCATTACTAAATAAATGTGAATACAAGCCCCCAGTGAACTAGAAGACATCCCTGGAACAGGTGAAGAACAAATATTAATACTTCAAATCATAACTGAGTAAAATGATACAAGGTAGAGTTGACCCTCCACTGACAACTTATGAGGAAAGGGCCTTTTAATGGCATACTGTATTATCTGTATTTGTTAATTTAATTTCCAATGGGGATGCTTTTAGTTGTTATTGATAGATTTTATTATTGTGTTGCTGAAGGCTTTCATGGCCAAAATCACTGGGTTGCTGTGAGTTTTCCAGGTTGTATGGCCAAGTTCCAGAAGCATTCTCTCCTGACTTTTCACCCATATCTATGGCAGGCATCCTCAGAGGTTATGAGGTCTGTTGGAAACAAGGCAAGTGAAGTTTATATACCTGTGGAATGTCCAGGCAGACAAGAGTTCTTTCTACAACCCTGGACATTCCACTGATATATAAACCTCACTTGCCTAGTTTCCAACATACCACACAATCTCTGAGGATGCCTGCCATAGATGTGGGCAAAAGGTCAGGAGATAAATGCTTTTCTAACATAGCCATACAGCCCGGAAAACTTACAGCAATTCTGCATGTCACTTCATTTCACTTCCATAATTGTAATAGTCCTTGGTGTTCCTTTTCTTGAGAATCAGAATGTTAATTTTTTAACTTTTTACTTCATTTAAAAAAAAAACTTTTGTATGCAGTTGGTTTTTAGTTTTGTTTGTTTCAACCTTTGTATGCTGCCATGAGTTCCAGGGCTGTGGAAAAGGTAGGATGATAGTGGCACAATAGTAGTAATAGTAGTAGTAGTAGTAGTAGTAGTAGTAGTATCAATAATATCACCTGACCATTTCTCATTTACACACAAAAGAACCTTGAGCATTATTCCCTCTGGTATGGTTGATTCTTTGACAGTTTTTTTTGGTGCAATATCCCTGGTTGGCTTGTAGGGCAAAGGTCTCTTCTGTGCACTCAAGCAGCAACATGAGACTGTTGTGACACAGTAGTAATTTCAAGCATGAGATAAGATGAGATGAGCTGGATACTAACTAACTAATGTACATTAAAAGAGAAGACTTGTGCATCTGTTCAATGTGATTGCTGTTGGTGCAGTTACAGTTGATCCTTGGTCATGTACTAATTAATCTGAGGTTACTTTTAATGTAGAAGATGTCTTATTGAAATTAGTTGTTGTTGCATGCCTTCAAGTCATTTCAGACTTATGACAAAAATATAACAAGGTTTTCTTGGCAAAATTAGTTGAGAAGAGGGTTGCCATTGTCTGCCTCTGATGCTGAGAGAGTGTGACTTGTCCAAGGTCGGGAGTTTCATGGCCAAGTGGCCATTCATTCTCAATCTCCTGAGTCCAAGTATAGCACTCAAATCATGTCATTTTAAAATGAGCAATAATGCTGATTTTAAGACCAGCATTGTCATTTGGCATATATCTTACCTTTTTCCTTTTATGTTTTTGAGTTCCGATATTTTAGACAGGTTTTGTCTAAACCTGTTTGCATATTCGTATATTTTAAATTGTATGTTGATGCTTTTATGTTAAGCTGCTTTGAGTATCCTGCAGGAGAGATAAAGTGGGATAATCATCATCATCATCATCATCTTCTGATGGAACTTCTCAAGCTGTTAACCACTTTTAAAAATTTAACTATTTAGTTGTTGTTTTTCTGCATTTCAGGTCATAATAAATAACGCTGCTGGAAATTTTATTTCTCCTTCTGAACGCCTTTCTGCAAATGCTTTCAAAACAATTTCAGATATTGTTCTTAATGGCACTGCCTTTGTAACTCTTGAAATCGGAAAACAACTAATTAAAGCTAAAAAAGGTAAGTTCAGATTGTTAGAGCTTCAGTTTTGTTGACAAATTTGAAGAAGGGCACTAAATGAAAACTACAGTCGACTGTTGTGTCACTTAGAATCCTGGATTTGTTGCTATCAGCCTTGATTCCCTATATTGGATTCAATATAGAAATTCTAGGGTAAAAATAAATATTGGGTTGCTGTGAGTTTTCTGGGCTATATGGCCATGTTCCAGAAGCATTCTCTTTTGACATTTCACCTACATCTATGGCAGGCATCCTCAGAGGTTGTGAGGTTTGTTGGAAACTAGGCAAGTGGGGTTTACATATCTGTGGAATGTCCAGAATGGGAGAAAGAACTCTTGTCTAGTGAATGTTGCAGTAGGCCACCTTGATTAATATATATTATTTTAAGGGGGCCTTCAGAGGATTGAAAATGATGTTTTTAGAGCATAGTGCAGGGGGCGGGAGTGTAATATGTAATGGACAAAGACTGGCCTCTGCTAGCAAAATAATGGCCCACAAATCCATACAAAAGAACTGTTGCTAGGCTGCTGTAGCTCAAATATATACATTGAACATTTGTACACAAGCTCAGTTGTTACCTGTACTGTCCATTACTGGCATAGAAATGCTTGACACATATGGACTGGTGCACATGTAAGCGCCTTCTCTGAACACAAGGTAGATTGACACTTTCCATCACTTTAATACATCTGCATAGTCATAAAGTAATAGCTGACTACTATGTGAGAAGCATAGATTAAAAAAAACACACACACACACATCATATGGAATTTAACACCAATGGAAGTGGCAAAGTCACTTAGGCTGCTCTCTTGGCTTGTTCCCCTGAAGGTATTCAAACAGATTAGGAAGGCACTGTCTATTATTTTATCTGCTGATAAAAATACGAAGGGAAATTCACTCCTGGAAGAGTTCTCATGGGTAAAAGGGGTCTCCAATGAAGTTTTTTTGCCAACCATTGCTTCCACAACAAGCCACATTTTTCAAAATCCAGTTACCACAGGGACAGAAAGTGAGGTAAAATCTTCTGAACAGGGACAGAGACAGCAAAACAAATGTCACAGGGGTGTTCACCCTTCCCTATGCTATCCAAAGTATGTATGTATGTATGTGGTGTGTGTGTGTGTGTGTGTGTGTGTACACACACACACACACATACATACACACACCAAAACTTTCATTGAGCCATTTCCCCAAATGCATGAAGAGTATGAATTTACCGTAAGGTTTCATCTTCCAGGAAATATTTCAGTAACTCCTACAAGGAAGGGAATGTATGTGGTCTTCAAGTTCTGATCCTGTTTTCTGATATTAGATTTAGGTTTAGATTCCTATTTTTATGTTGTAACCTTAGGGAAAGTATGTCGTTTATAGGGTCCAAAATGTGTATTGAAATCAACTTTTGTTTTTCTGCCTCTTTCAGGGGCAGCATTTTTGGCCATTACAACAATATATGCAGAAAGTGGGTCTGGGTTTGTGATGCCAAGTTCTTCTGCCAAAGCTGGTGTTGAGGCAATGTGCAAGTGAGTAACTTCTTGGTCATTAAGTCAGAAACGTATTTTCTTCACATGCTAATTACATGGAGCCCCCAGTGGCACAGTGGATTAAACTACTGAGCTGCTGAACTTGCTGACTGAAAGGTCACAGGTTTGAATCCGAGGAGCAGCATGAGATCCTGCTGTTAGCCCCAGCTTCTGCCAACCTAGCAGTTCAAAAACATGCAAATGTGCCTAGATCAATAGATACCACTCCGGCGAGAAGGTAATGGCACTCCATGCAGTCATACCGACCACATGACCTTGGAGGTGTCTATGGACAATGCCGGCTCTTCGGCTTAGAAATGGAGATGAGCACCAGCCCCCAGGGTCAGACATGACTGGACTTAATGTCAGGGGAAGCTTTTACCTTTACTTAATTACATCACTGGAACTTTCGTCCATAGGAAAATTCCGTCTCCATTTACCTTCCTCTCTGTTTTCTGTTAGTCAAAGTTAATTTATTATTGTTAATTTATCAACAGCCTTAGGAAAATGTGAGTGGGTCGACGAAGATATGTAAGATACCAGTTGCAAGATATTCATCCAAAGTTATTGTTGCACTCCAGGACAGGAATAACCCTCTGATTTTAAAACACCACACGTTGAATAGGAAAGTAATCTTTTTATTAAAGATAAGTAAACAAAAAACAAAAAAAAACAGCAAAGTAGAAAAACACTTTAAAGAAATAGGTAAATCCAATTAGATAAAAAGATAAGCAGGAACAAATTAGTCCAAGATAGAGTTCAGCAATGTCCAAAAGCAAAGTCCACAAGTCTCTAACAAAATCCAGAGTACCAGGAAACATTTATCCAAGGGATGAGTAGGCAATCCCAAGAGACAAAAAACCAAACCAGGAAACAAGAAATATTTAAGCATGAATCTTCCAAGCAAGGCTTCTATGAGACGAGGACAAGAACTAAGCAGGTTTCTAAACGATACTTCATCTGACTATTTTTTTCCATGCTTGGGACTTTAAAGCCTTTCCAAGCACTCAGAAAATGGTTTCGCTTTCCTTGAGCGGCCCTTATCTTTTTCTGTTGAAGCCTGGCAGAACGCCGAAGACCTTGCTCGGCCTGTCTGTTTTAACTAATTTCCTCCCACCTATCTATATGCTTATTAGTTTCTGCAGGTGCCGAGTTGCTTTCAAGCCCCAAATCCTGGGAACTCTCTGGGAGCAATTCAGGGAGTAAACCATCACCCCTATACCTTGTAGGAACATTCTCATGGGAAACTACACTTTGAACAGGTGTCTCTGTGTCATTCTCTGCATCAATATCACTGACCAAACCATTGCCACCTTGAACCTCATTTCATTCCCCACATCCAAAGCACTCTGATTCTGAAACACAATCACAGGTTGAACTCCAACTTATATAAAATCTTCCAATGAACAGAAAACTGTGTTTGAGCCCAAAGTTGGTGCATATTTAATACATGTACTTTCTAGTTTATCTTACCATGGTATATCCTGAATTCCTATTAAATTAATAAATTGTTTTCTAGGTCCCTTGCTGCTGAATGGGGTAGATATGGCTTAAGATTCAACGTAATTCAACCAGGTCCAATAAAGACTAAGGTATGGTTTAAACTTTTAATGAATTAGATATTGTGGCCGATTCTCCGGACCTAAATACAGTTGTCTGGGAGTAATATAGGACATGTACTACTTACCTAAGTTCAAGCTTTTATGGCAAGAGTCTAGTTGCATTTCAGTTGTTCTTTGAAGGCCTACTGCAAACTCTTTCCTGGCCACCAAAATCCTTTATATTTTTTTCTAAAGCAGATGAGATAAATTCCTGGTTTTCCAATAGTTATTGGACTGCAACTCCCATCAGTTGTACCTATTGTAGTAGATTATGATCTGATGAGGGTTGTATTCTAAGAGCATGCAGAGTTGCAAATCATCCCCCAGCTTTAAAATAGGGGTGGAGAAAGTTTCATGAGGAATATTTCTATCTGGTTTTAATTTTTTTATTGTCCATTTTAACTTTTGTACACACATTTGTACTGATGTGTATTTTAAATTGTTATAAGCGTCCCTGTTATATTAACATTAATATCATAATAAATAGGCCTGACTTATCAGAAAGACCCTCTCTCCCTATGGAAGCATGTCCAGATGTTGAGATCTTCATTTCCATCATTTGCACAGAAATGTTTGTAAGAGGACATGAGAGAGAGCCCTATTGGTGACTGCTCAGCTTGTCCTCTCTCTACTCTTTCACTAGTAGCCAAATAATTTCTTATTTAAAGAAGACTTTATCTGGGTTGCTGTGGGTTGTCCAGGCTGTATGGCCATGTTCCAGACGCATTCTCTCCTGACGTTTCACCCACATATATGGCAGGCATCCTCAGAGGTTGAGGGGTCTGTTGGAAACTATGCAAGTGGGGCTTATATGTGGAATATGCAGGATAGGAGAAAGAACTCTTGTCTGTTTTCGGCAAGTGTGACTGTTGCAATTGACCACCTTGATTAGCACTGAATGGCCTTCAGCTTCAAAGCCAGTCTGCTTCCTGTCTGGGGGAATCCTTTGTTGGGAGGTGATTAGCTGACCCTGATGTTTCTTGTCTGGAATCCCCCTGTTTTTTTAGGGACGTTTTTTATTTACTCTCCTGCTTTTAGAGTTAAAAAACAGACAAGAGTTCTTTCTCCCACCCTGGATATTTCACAGATATATAAATTGTGGCATAATGTAAAATAAACCACATGTAGTTCACATTTGATCAGCTTACACACTGTCTTGCCAGAGAAAGAAAATATGCCACACAGATGATCAATAAAGAACAAGTAGTTTACTCTTCGCAATTCGAAACAACATATTTTCAATCATGTGATCAGTTGCATTGACCTTTAATGTCACTTTATGAGAGATTTAAAATGGTCTTTCTTTGTCCATGTGGAGAATCTTCCTCCAGCTGCTTATAAGCATGAGTAGACTCCAAACTGTCTCTCCGTGCTTCACTCTGCTTCTCTGCAAGCACCTGCTAACTCAAGCCTGAAAAATGTAACAGTTTCCAAAAGTCCCAGGCTCAGCTAGCACCCTAGCCAATCTGCTTTGTGCTTCTTATTTTACAGTTGACACACACACACACTAACTGATTTCTTACATGCTCCAACATAAACCCTACTTGCCTAGTTTCCAACAGACTTCACAATCTCTGAGGATGCCTGCCATAGATGTGGGCAAAACATCAGGAGGGAATGCTTCTGGAACATAGCTATACAGCCTGGAAAACCCACAGCAACCCAGTGGTCCTAGCCATGAATGCCTTTGACAACACAAGCTTTTATCTCTTAATAAGTAATACACTTTAATATAGTTTTACCTTTTCTAAATGTTTTCAAGTGGTTAGCTCAGTTTTTACAATTTTTGTATTCAGATTGTTTCAGCTATTTTAGCACACAGTGTAAGCTACTTTGGTTCCATATAGGAGAAAAGCAGGAGATGAATAAGTATTTTGTTTTTCATTAGGGAGCTTTCAGCCGCCTTGACCCAGCAGGTAAATTTGAAAAGGAAATGATCCAAAGAATCCCTTGTGGCCGCCTGGGAACCATCGAGGAGATTGCTAATCTTGCCACTTACCTCTGTAGTGATTATGCCAGTTGGATAAGTGGAGCCGTAAGTAATATCTCTAATTTCAAAATCAGTAGCTTACTGCTGCTGATATGCCAGCTATAATCTTCAAACCTGTTCAGCTGCCCCTCTGTTAAAGCAGCTTAGTGCTATACTTCGATGGTGCTAGCATCGTTTAATACAATTTCACTTAAAATCGTTATTTTACTTTAAAAAAATTGATCTCAGCTTGATGTTGAACTAACCTTTTATTGGAGCAATGTAATAAAAATCCTTTTTAAATTTCAAAGGTCATACGATTTGACGGTGGAGAATATGTGCAAATGGCTGGAGAGTTCAATAGTCTACGGAAGGTAATAATGACTTATAAGGGGAATCTGTTATGATGTCAAATAGTTTTGTTTGATGTCTACCATACAGTCTTTCATAATACTCCGTCCCATGCGCTTCTCCCTTTTCCTTTTCTACCAACGTACCATTACATACACACTGAACTCGTTGTCTTGACATCCCCTTCCTGTCCCTTTGAATTTTTTTCATATTTTTTTTCTATTTCAGCAAACTCTCACATAGCGTTATACTTCGGCACATTTCTTTAGCTTTGTCAAAAAAAATCTTTATACTTCTGTAAATTATTTCTAAAGATTTTTAACTTTTGTTTTTCAAATGCGTGTAAAACATTTCTGTTGATTGATCTCTCCTGCTCAGTGATCCTTCCTAATTATATATGGATGATGTTGATTTGGTTATGTAAGCACCAATTCTCACATTCACATATCATGAACCATGAGAATTTTATACTTCAAGTCAAAATTAAGTCTTTTTTCCCACTGATTTCAGTGGGAGGTGATTTGTACTTACCGTATATACTCAAGTATAAGCCGACCCGAATATAAGCTGAGGCACTTAATTTTACCACCAAAATCTGGGAAAACGTATTAACTCGAGTATAAACCGAGAGTGAGAAATGCAGCAGCTACTGGTAAATTTCAAAATAAAAATAGATACCAATAAAATTACTTTAAATGAAGCATCAGTAGGTTAAATGTTTTTGAATATTTACGTAAAACTGTAATTTAAGAGTGTCCAACTCTGATTAAATCATTATTCTAACCTTCCTCAATGTAAATGTGCTTACGTAGCCTTCCAGTAATAATATAGTAAAATAATAAATGTAATAAAATAATAGAGTAAAATAAGGGAAATGTAATAACAGTAATAATAGAGTAAAATAATAAATGTAATATTACTAATAGAGTCAAATATAAATGTAGTAATAACAATATTAAATAGACTAAAATGATAAATGTAATAACAATTTATTTATTATTTATATGCCGCCCTTCTCACCCCAAAGGGGACTCAGAGCAGCTTACAAGGTATATATTACATACAATATATTATATTATTAGGATAGTACAATATCAGCATTAAACATTGCTATATTGCACGATACCACTATATCGTAATATTATTAGTAATATTACATGTAATATAAATATATAATTATAATATCATATTATTATATTGCATTACATTATAATATTATAAATATTATATGTATACACAATATATTATATTATATTATTAGAATAGCACAGGAGACAAGGTGGAACTGTCCCCTGGCCCCCTCTCTCTTCACTCTGGCCCAGAGCGACAGACAAAACAATAATAACAATAACAAAACAACAACAACAACAATAATAATAATAATAATAATAATAAAATAATAAATGCAATAATAACAATAATAAATAGAATAAAATAATAAATATAATAATAAATATAATAATAATAATAATAACAACAACAACAACAACAGGAAAATAATAAATAACCTTGACTTGAGTATAAGATGAGGAGGGCTTTTTCCAGCTTATACTCAAATGTATATACGGTATTTCAATTGGATTTTGAAAAGTATTTATTTTTGAGTAAATTATTTCTGTTTAGATCTGTATAAAGCATGAACAAAGGGCACTGTGATCGTCTCCTTAATGAAAATGTTTTCCCCTTTCTAGGTTACCAATGATGAGTGGGATATGATGGAAGAAATGATAAGGAAAACAAAAGGATCGTAACTTTTTAATTGGGAGTTTTGCATAGTAAATCTTTCCAGGAGTTTTCTAATCACTGAACTCAATGCCCAGGTGCTGAAAATGATGGTAATAAAAGACACATACTTTTATATGTATGTGTTTCAAAACAATGAATGTTTCCATGATTTACTGACTTTAGTTTACCTACACATAATAACAAGATGTTTTATAAATTACATTCCTAAGTGAATTATATAATACACAGCAGAAATTTACAATAAATGCTAATATTAAATTCATGATTTGGTTATTTTATTGCTTGGATACAAGTTATGGTGTAACTTTTTTTGCAAATCACATTCAGAACGAAGCTTCCTATGTTGTTTTGTGTGTTCCTGCATGACATTAGGTTGGACTAGATGGCCCTTGTGGTCTCTTCCAACTTTATGATTTGATTATTCTGTGTTGTATCAGCTTAGATTTAAGATTCCTTGCTACAACTGCCATTCATGCAGCAGGCTGAAATGTAGCAGCTGTGTTATTTTTGATACGGCCCTTCCCTGTCCATTACCAGAGTTGCATGTTATGACTTTGGGTTACAGCAACAGTAACATAAGATTGATAGCCCAACTAGCTGTTGTGTCATTTCCAACTTATGGTGACCTTATCACAGGGTTTTCTTGGCAAAATATGTACAAAAGGGAGTTTGCTGTTGCTGAGAGAATGCGACTTGCCCAAGGCCACCCAGTGGGTTCCCAAGACTGAGTGAGGATTTGACCTCATTCAAACACACCTGCTAAGACGGAAATTAAAATGAAATGGGAAAAATCTCAAAGGGCTATCTACAGATAGAATTAGAGGTACCCTGCCAATATAAAAGAAGAAAGAAAGAAAGAAAAAGCAGGTATTATAGAGAAAAGTAGGGCTGGGTGAGTCTGGAAGCTGAGAGAATCTGTGTAGACAAGGACTTAAGAAGAAAGGATTCTTTTAAGGTTCATTTAAAAAAGAAGTATGAGAAGGAAAGCCTGACCCAGATCTTAGGAAAGGAACAGAGTTCTGCACTGTTAGCTAAAAGCACCTTCACACGCAAAAGAAGTTTAGAGAATCCTGTGGGATTGTGAACTCAGGAGTCAATGAAAATGGGGCAACAGTAGGATGTTTGTGTGTTACGTGCTGTGTTCATTCACTACAATTCACATCTTGATTTGCACTAAACTGCCAGCCTGTATTTCAACTGAGTTTTATGAATTATAATGTTTGAAACTGTGATTATGTATGTGCACGATTGTAATTTTATAAGGTTTATCATTTTAGATTTATGTAGGGTTTATATGCGGCACTTCGCTGTATTTTGTTAGCCTCCCCGAGTCCTTTCGGGGAGATAGTGGCAGCGTGGAAATAAATTTTTTTATTATTATTATTATTTCCCAATGAAGGCTAATTGGGATTATAGATTACAACATCCATCTATCCATCTATCCATCTATCCATCTATCCATCTATCCATCTATCCATCTATCCATCTATCTATCTATCTATCTATCTATCTATCTATCTATCTATCTATCTATCTATCTATCTGTATCCCAGGTTTGAGAAGTGCTATTTTTTCTGAAGTATGGAACTTGTATTCTTTTCCTTCTCAATTCTGTATTCGTGAAGTGCAAATAACCACTAGATGGAACTGTAACACAAAAGGAAACAAACCTACCCATTGTGATTATAAAAAATGTTGCTGTTAGCTTAGAAACAATATACAAGCTTCTTTGCTGAACCAAAATGAACCCAGTAAAATTCAGATACTACCCTGCCTTAAGCAACTGATTATCATAAGATAATGTATAAGGAATAAATCCATGAACTGAGGAGAGCCTTGTGAATTATGGGAGAAATAAAAAGCACACTTCAGTGTAGAATCCGGGAACTATGGGGGAATCATTTTAAGTATATTCATAGAATCATAGAATCCTTGAGTTGGAAAAGACCTCATGGGCCATCCAGTCCAACCCCCTGCCAAGAAGCAGAAAAATCACATTCAAAGCACCCCCGACAGATGGCCATCCAGCCTCTGCTTAAAAGCCTACAAAGGACTCATAGGGTGAGAACCACTGAACCAGACCAATCCTATACCAATATTGAACTAAACCAGTGGTTCCCAACCTGTGGTTCCGCAGATGTTTTGGCCTGCAACTCCCAGAAAATCCAGCTGGTTTACCAGCTGTTAGGATTTCTGGGAGTTGTAGACTAGGGACCCACAAGTTGAGAACCACTGAACTAGACCAATCCTATATCAATGGACGGCAATCAAATGACATTTGGATTTATATCCTATGTGATTATTTTCCAACTGAATTAGTAACTGAAATTAGAAATGCAGCTGGTAAACGAATTCTAGGTAACGTCTTATTAACTTCATTGGGTCACCAGAAGACAGCAGGTGACTTGAAGGTGTTTGATAGGCTTGTCATAGTTCTGAAATTGCATAGTGAAGAACATGGAACATGAAGAACATAGTAAAAGAAATCATGTTTTAAATATTGAATTGCATTGTATGAAGCTACAGGGCTATATAATGCAGTTAAGATGCATGATATGGCAGTGGAGATGGGGCCCGAGTGACCTCCGTGTACTTTCAGTGATATCATTGGGATTTGTCTCTTGTTTATTCTCCAGAGAATTGTGTTTTTAGATTGTAGATCCCCGTTTTCCTAAATTGGTTTGGAATCAACACAAGGATAACATCATTTGAGCCCTTGTAGTTTGTTAACCTAAAACAGGGGTCCTCAAACTTTTTAAACAGAGGGCCAGGTCACAGTCCCTCAAACTGTTGGAGGGCCGGATTATAATTTGAAAAAAGCATGAATGAATTCCTATGCACACAGCGCATACCTTATTTGTCATGCAAAAAACACTTTGAAACAATACAATAATTAAAATGAAGAACAGTTTTCACAAATATAAACTTATTAGTATTTCAATGGGAAGTGTGGGCCTGCTTTTGGCTGATGAGATAGGATTGTTGCTGTTGTTGTGTGCTTTCAAGTAGTTTCAGACAGGTTAACCCTGAGTGAGGGCTAGGTAAATGACCTTGGAGGGCCGTATCTGGACCCCGGGCCTTAGTTTGGGTACCCCTGCCCTAAAATAAAATAAGGGTATTATTTGATCTACCCTGCCCTGGTTTTGAAAGATTCACAGTACTGGCTGCACCATTAGTTACCAATGGGATTTGTAGTCACATGGCAGCTCTGAAAATCAGGGCACTTATATTTAGGCACCTAATTATGGATTTCTTCCTCAGCAAAATTGAGTTAGGTAGGATTGATAATCTTGATCAATATGAATATTCATATTGATGTCAGCCTGCATTGCTAAATGTTTGTGATGATGAATGCAATTTTCTAATAATACAAGTAGGGGAAAATCATGTGAAATGAGCTGCTTCTAATGACATCAACATGTGTAAAGCTTCAGCCTCTTGTTGATGTCTTATGTAATTTATCAACCAGCTGCAAGCTTGCACTGCACACTTGTCCTCTTGCAATATTAAACAGTAATACATTAAGCAGTTCTACTAGCAGGACACTACTGCACTCTTTTATTCACTCTACACTAGCACTCTACACTCCGATAGAAACTGTTCTCGATTTTGAAGTTTTCTCAAGCCTGATTACCTGAGAACAGAGCTTAGAAAAATTAGTTTTGGTGACAACAACTCTCAGAAATATGGTCACTGTTTCCAGTATTTGATTTATGCAGGTGTGAGGTGTTCAGCCTAAGCTTTTGCATGACTTCCTTCTAAGAAAGTGTTTTTAGAAGGCTTTGGAAATAGGCATCTTGAAATCAAAAGTAAAGAATTAGAAGGTTCCTTTTGGATCACAAAGCTCAATCACTAAGAACTTCAACCTATGGAGGCAGTGAGCCCTTAGTGGTCATCTGAAGCAGCTTGAAAGTGCTTGTTGTAGTTGCTGTTGTGTGTCTTCAAGTCATTTCAGCTTATGGTGACCTTATCACAGAGGTTTTATTGGCATGATATGTCTAGACTGGGTTTTGGCTTTGCCTTTCTCTGAGGCTGGAGAATTGCTCAAGCATGCCTAGTGGATTCCCATAGCTAAAGCAGGAACTGGAGCCCAGGCCCCTTCTATACTGCCAGATAATCCAGGTTATCCATGCAGAAAATACAAATTATCTGATTTGAGTTGGATTATCTTAGTCTACACTGCCATATAATCCAATTCAACGCAGATAATCTGGATATTATATGGCAGCATAGAAAGGGCCCTAGACCAATACTGGCTATTAACTCAGCAATAAGTCCTAATTCGTTGAGAGGAACTTACTCCTTTTTAGGTACGTTTGCTACTGCAAACTAAGTTTCTGCTTCCTCTCTGGAAGAGTTCCATCAGCTAAATGAGTTGTTGGAATTTAAAAACCATCTAAAGACCTATTTCTCCCAGCAGACCTCCCTATCCCTAGACAGTTTTTAAACATGAATTTTAAACATGTGTCCTTTGTTTAATCTATGTTTTGTGTATTTTAATACATATTTTATATAAATATGTTTTAATATGTATCTTTTATTTTAAAAATAAATTTTAATATGTTTATTGGTGTTATTTTAATAATAATAATAATAATAATAATAATAATAATAATAATTTATTTGTATCCCGCTACCATCTCTCCAAAGGACTCGGTGCGGCTTACATGAGGCCGAGCCCACAATACATCAGCAAAAAACAACAGTAATATAAAATAAAACTCATAAACAGAAAATAAGCAGTAAACATCACAATAACACAACAATGATTTTAAAAAAAACTATGACTGGGCCAAATGTAATAGTTAAAATTTTAAAATAATGCTGAGCATGACCAGGTGAAATATAACTAGATAGAATTTTTGGAGAAGAATGGGGCATGCAGACAATGTTGATAATGTTTATGTGTTTTAATTATTCTGTAACCCACCTTGAACCACAAGGAGAGGTGGATAAATTATTATTATTATTATTATTATTATTATTATTATTATTATTATTATTAGGGTTGCCACTTGTTCCTTATTGTAAGGGTTGTGAATTATTTAATGGCCAGAAAGCTTTTTCTGGTATGAGCATTAGACAAGATCCCAAAATCCTGTATTTTCAGATATCAGTTGAATACATGGCCTTCAAATCACACAGCAAATGTTAGCGCTGGAGAAGGCTGTAAATATGGCCAGTGTCTACAATTTCCACTCCAGGTCAAGCAATATGCTCAGCACGGTGGCAATAAAATTCCTTTCCTCAGTTGGCTGCTGGCTAGCCATTACAATATTTCTGGGTGTTTAAAAGCTTTTATGAGTTTGCCATCTCATAGGAGCCTGGAACTCTTCACAAGAGGCCTTTTTTCCATGACTTGAAGCAGTACTTATAGAAGTATACATCATATATCTCAGCCAATCTTGACTTTCTCTTATTCCTGTTTTGAAAACCTAGCGACTGTAATTTGCCACCAAAATAACATTGCTTCCTGCCATATGTAGTACTGTAACTCAACTCGGATGCATTGAATCATGATCAACCATTCTTCCATTGGTTCTTTTTTGAGGGGGTCATGTGACAATGTCCCAGTTTAATATTTCTCCAGTAATCATGGTATCTTGGATGACATACTTTTCAAATTTTTGACTTCCTGGGTGATATGGAAGCTTCTGAACAATGCTGATATATCTGTGAAACTATGCAGTGCAAAACATCCTCTGTTCAGGAATGTAACCGTACAGTGTTTTACAGCTAGAAGCACTTTAAAATTCTCATCACAGTAGATCAAACTACCAATGAAAAAATGTAAAGAAAAGAAACCAAATTGGTAAACTGAGTTTCAATCATTTTATAATTTGTAAATATGCCTCTAGGTGAAAATTTAAATCACTCTTCCTTGTCTTTTTTTAAACACAGAATATTTTGCATTGCATGGAGAAATTAGAGGTGAGTGCGAAGGTGAAGAATTAGATCATGATGCCTGAAGGAGAATTGTCAAAATGGGGACATCTGACCTGACTAAGCCTCTTAATGTGTTAAGCTCTTGCTCACCAAGAGAGATGCTTAATTTAGTACAAATTTCAGAAATGAAGCACAAGGCACTTGCATGTTGGAGGCAATTTATATCACATGAAGGCATTTGAGCCTTCATGTGAAATCAGCACCTTTATTTTATATACAATAATTGTCTTTGTAGTTATTTTTAAAATTGGCCTGGACCCTTCCACAAGAAAATGAAACTTAAAGCAGAACTCTTTCCACTAATATGCACATTTTGGTGTCCCCAGTGTACATTTGTGATAGATCTTCATCTATAGAGAAATTATGCTGTCTTAATAGGATATACTGAAAAAAGAATTGAATTCTACTGAGTCCAACTCCCACAAAGCCCTTTTCTAAAATTAGATCCAGTTTCTAAATGAAATGACTGGATCCGATGCACAATTTATAGCATCGGTTACCAACCCTTTTTTGACCAGGGGCCACTTTCAGCAGGGATCACTTGACCAGGGACCACCCTCCAACATTACTACCAAAAAGTTTATGAATTACTTTTTGCTCAACTTTAGACTCGGTTTGGTTATTTGGAGTGCTGATTCAGAAAATTGCATTGAATAGACCACATCAGCTCTAGTTTCTGATACAGAACATATGCCATCCAATAGTCAGCATTTGCCTGCCCACAGAAAATCATATTTAATAAGCCTTGGTAATATAAGAGGGTTTCACAAGACCAGACACTCTCATTGCAACAGTGTAGTAACAGGGTGCGAACAATATTTTAGTTCTTGTGGACCACAGGCTGGGAGCCACTGCTTTGTAGTAACAATTTTTCATGGTCACAAAATTGTTCATGTATCCCCCAAAAAATATTTCAGAAACCACTAAATAAGCGCCTTGAGGCTGATATACTTTGGATATCAGCCATTATAGCTCCATCTGTAGTCAGTGGGCACAAATGAGTTCTGTTGAAAATAATGGCATGGGATGTGCACAGTTTTGCAGTGTTTTTGCCACCCACTCCCACATAAGGTATATATGGCTGCAACTACAGTTCTGTTGAATATGTGTCATTAATTTCAACAAATTTCTGAGCTGTTTTGAATGGGGGAGGTATTCTAGTTCTGTTTCGTAGAAATAGGTATTTTTGCTAAAATGCAGTCTGGAGCCTTTGTTCCAGACAAAATGTGGCCCATGTCCCACACCTTGTCGCCAGATTAGATTTTGGCTTAATGAAGCCAGGCAAGCTTTATTTTAAAAAATCTGCTTAAAAAGGAAAAAGAAAATTGGAAATACAGAAACGAGACACCAGAAGTCTTCGTATATTAAATTTAATTATAGATTACACAGAATGATGTAAAAACAGCAGTTTGCGAGAATCATAATCTGCGAAGTGTGGAAATAGTTTTAGAAAATGGGTTGTCATATTCTCTGACACAGCAGCATTCCTTAAAGCAAAAGGTAAAATATAGTATGAGGTCAATTTGTGTTTGAATAATTCTACCTGCCCTTGATGTGTTTGCCAACTGCAGTTTGTCCAGTAGAAGACACTTTTAGTGCCTTTGGGGCTCCCGAAGTAGCTTAAAGGCTGCTTATAAAGATTGTTGCCAACATATCCTGAGACATCTGTGACCTTGGGGTGTAAATTAAGGGAAAATTGATAGCTGTGAAATTAATAACTTGGTGGGAATTAACAGAGTTAAACTACAGTTCTCCAAAGTTCTGTACTGCTAATAAGTGCTAACCTCTTCCCCTTGAAACAATGTAGCTCAAAAAAAGTTGCTTTTTGGACCCCAGCATCCACAATCCCCCCAGGCACTTCTAGAATCCAAAGAAGTAACTTTGTCGAGCTCTGTTCCTAGCATAGGTTACAAGAAACTGCCTTGATTTATGGGAAATTTATGAGCTTAGTTTGCATGGGAAGGCTAGGCATTTGGAAAAGTTGCATGTCTGAATGAGTGCCACTCCAATGTACCTAATAATGCCTATGCCACCTCTCCATGTCTTGGATTGGTTTTCCTGTAGTCCACTGACTGAGCCAGCAGGCAGCACTACAGTTTGGACTGTATGTAGGTCCATCGCTAGACCCTCTTTTTCTTATGAAAACAAAAGGAAACCTCCGTGAATGCTCCTTACAATAACTTGCCACGTGGGTCCACTACCTCTGTCAAATTCTGTTAAACTCAGAACAAATAAGTCACCGGCCTATTTCTCTCTCTCAATGATGGCCAGAAGGACCATTTAATTCATAGAGATCATTATTGCTCCAACAGCAAGTGTCAAAGGATAGAACAAACTCCAAACATGTTGTATGGAAACAATGACCACACTGGGGTGTAATTTGGTTTGTAAATGAATCAACAGACTGGCCCAAACAGAGACATCCTCTTTATCAATCTTATAGTTACAAAAACTGTACATTACAAACAGTATAGAAACAAGCTGAAAAGAATGTGCCATGTATCCTGGCTAATTATCTATATGCAGTTTTAAATTTACAAGGTATAAAAGAAAGTAAAGCCTACTCCCTTATAGTGCACAGTTATTATTTTTTTGTCAAAGATATATTATGTCACTAGTTAAGTGGAAAGAATCAAAGAGATCTAGTTTTCACTAGCACAGAGAATAAGAGCAAGTTCTGTTCGGTAAAGCTTTCCTCCATCAGACAAGGCCATGATATTCTTCTTGTATGTTGCAAGGTTGTTAATATCTAGTACCTGTTTTAAGAAAAAGAAAAAAATGCTGTGTAATTAGGTTGTAAGTTCAAGAATGCTTCCGGTCCTGAGGTTTCCACACCAAAACCTGAGATCTATGTACAACCGGCTGATGTCATTCAGTAATATGCAACACAGTTGTTCATAACTTGTCATTCAAACACACAAGAATACAAAATGGAAATTAAGATCTTAGCTAAGGATCTATTCCCAGGTCAGGGTGTGAATGGAGAAGATTATTTCTTCTCACTAACCTGGGGACATAGGATGAGGAACATTTAATTTAGTCTACTTGTGCTGTTGAAGGCTTTCATGATGGGAATCACTGGTTGCTGTGAGTTTTTCAGGCAGCATGGCCATGTTCCAGAAGCATTATCTCCTGACATTTTGCCCACATCTATAGGAGGCATCCTCAGAGGTTGTGAGGTTTGTTGGGAGCAAGACAAGTGGGGTTTATATATCTGTGGAACGTCCAGGGTGGGAGAAAGAACTCTTGCCTGTTTCAGGCAAGTGTGGATGCTGCAATTGATCACCTTGATTAGCATTGAATGGCCTTGCAATTTCAAGGCATATTAACTGAGAATACAGAAATGCTGGGCTACTCTAACAACTACCATGTCAGACTACACTGAGAAGCCATTGAAATCTGCAAGCATCTGGACAACAGAAAGGAGGAAACCATGAAAATGAACAAAATCTGGCTACCAGTATTAAAAAAAATTCTAAAATCAGGACAGTAAAGAAAGAACAACACTCAAAACCAGGGGAATTCTAGACAAGAAACAAGCAGGGCCAGCTAATCACCTCCCAACAAAGGATTCCCCCAGGCAGGAAGCAGCCAAGCCTTGAAATTGCAAGGCCATTCAATGCTAATCAAGGTAATCTATTGCAGCATTCACACTTGCCTCAAACAGGCAAGAGTTCTTTCCCCCACTCTGGACATTCCACAGATTCCACCTTCAGACCCCACAATCTCTGAGAATGTGGGCATAACGTCAGGAGAGACTGCTTCTAGAACATGGCCATACAGTCCAGAAAACTCACAGCAACTTGCTTCCAGCCATCAGAGTATAGGAGAGGGGAAGCCCTGACATCACAATGATTTGGTGGGGAAAGCTAAATAGAAAAAATATAGTTGGTCATCCACATTTATGGGTATAGGTTTTGCATATTTGGTTATTTACGGGTTTAATTAATATGATATCTCTAGGAATCTCTAGCCCTTCAGCAAGACTATTATGACAAACTTCTGACAGAAGCTGACTACAGAATCACACTTGAAGGAGTTGCTGTTCTTAGCTGGGCTCTAGTTTCACAGCCAACTCTTTATCCACACTGTCTATGTCAATTGCATCCTATATACTATAGATAGCACTATAAAATCTTTGAAAACTATAGCAAAACATCAACCAAGTCTTGGAAATTGCAATAATTTACTTCTGTGCTTTTCCTCATGCCCAGACAAGCAGGGATCAAGAATTTCATGAAACCAAGCCCTGAGTTGAGCAACTCTTGTCCAGTTTCATTGCTAGCCTAAATGGATAAACTGCTAGAACTCTGTAGAACGACCATTTAGCTTTAGATCATCCACTTGAAATATTGCTGAAAAGAATCCTTACATGGTGTGATGTATCATTGTGATTGCCATCATCTTGATTACATGTATTTAAATAAATTATTATTAACTACATGTTTCACACAAAGGTACCTGAATATATTTTAGAAAACTATTCTAGCAAGTTATCTTAAGCCCAAATTAGACGTGACACCATGCAATTAGCAAGTGCTTGAATTGTCTTTAAATATGTGAATAATACTGCATATTAATTTCTTTCACACTAAAAATTTCATGCAAGTTAAAATAAAATTATAACACTATAACTGCGCAGTCTAAAACATGTGCAGAAAGAGCAATCATGCTCAAAAGTGCAATAGGGAGTAAAACAGTAAAAGCTATGTTCTACTGCCTTCTGAATTTGCAATCCAAATTGCTCCTCACTCCTTTGAGAATCTTAGAGTTGGAAGAGATCACTAGGGTCAATCAAAGCACTCCACACAGGTGGTTATCCAGCTTCTGTTTGAAAACCTCTAAAGAAGGAGACCTTGTAACACTTTGAGGCAGCATATTCCACTCTTGAACAACTCTCAGCATCAGGTGTCCTTCCTAATGTTCACTTACACATTAAAAACTACTCATACGTGTACATTATTAAAAATACAAAGCTTCATCTATGTGATCTCATTGTGGACAATTGGATCTCTAGATGTTTTCTGACTGCCACTCCAAAAAGTCCTCACTATTGGTTGTGTTGTAAAGGCTGATGGGAACTGCAACACCACAATATCTGGAGGTAACATTCCCATTTCCACTACCTCAGCAGCTACCTCTCCACAAAAGTCAGAATTGACACTGAAATACAACACCGCTGGAGCTCTGCAAGTGCAGCATTGTTCTGAATGAAGCAGAAAGTGTTTGAGGACTGGGACATCCATAGGAATACCAAGGTGCTTGTTTATAAAGCTTTTGCCCTCCCAACCCTGCTATACACCTGCGAAACATGGACTGTCTACAGACATCACACTCAACTCCTGGAATGATCCCATCAACATTGCCGACAAAAAATCCTGCAAATCTCTTGGGAAGACAGGTGGACAAATGTATGTGCAGGAAAAAGTAAAGACCACCAGTCCTGAAGCAATTCTCCTATGACATCAACTCCACTGGACTGGCCATGTGGTCTGAATGTGCAATCACCGTCTCCCAAAGCAGTTACAATACTCCCAACTCAAGAACGGGAAACAAAATGTTGGTAGATACGAAAAGAGATTTAAAGATGGGCTTAAAACCAACCTTAAAAGCTCTGGCACAGACACCGAGAACTGGGAAGTTCTGACCTTTGAGCACTAATGGATTGTCCACCCCCAGTCAAAATATGTTGTGGTGCAAGGGAACTTGCTTTATGCTAGAACAGCAAGAGCATGAAAGTCAACAATGTTGTAGAGCAGGCAGTAGTAATAGGATTGGATAGTTTGACTAGCTCAAAGTGTCTTTCCTTCTTGCCTGCCTATCCTGATTCCATTGTGATGCAAATCAGTATCTGTAGGGATTTTTACCACCTTTTCTCTTCCTACTATTCTTCTCTCAGTTCTTCCCAAGAAGGAAGATGGATTAGATTAGTATCCTGAGTCCATTTCCCCTCTTAGAATAGAGTCTGCATAATAAAGCCTTTAGTTTGTTTCTCCAAACCATTGGTGTCTTTGCACTTTAATCAGGATATCTAACTGCTGCACGCACTCTTTATCACTTTACACTAAACCAGACCTGCAGTCAATTTAATTCACTGTAATCCTCTTATCGGAAGCACCTTTCCAGGGTTTCAAACAAGAGTGTTTCCTAGTCCTATTTAGAAGCTGAAAATGGAAGTTAATTGCTCGGCTAAGGTCCTTCTGATTACTATGGCATGAGAGTATAACATCTGCAAGCACTGAATTTGATACTTGGTATGTAAATTATTATTCTTCCCCACCAGGTATAGCTATTGCAATTGCTGAAGGAAAATGTTTTGTGAATGATGGATATCTCTCTGACACTTCTACTCATGGACACTGGACCTATGAGGTCCTGAACATTAGGAAGAACTGTTTCCCTAGGTCCTGTCAATCTAGCAGTTCGAAAACATGTCATGTGAGTAGATCAATAGGTACCACTTCAGTGGGAAGGTAAAATGTTCCCATACAGCCATGCCGTCAAACATGACCAGGAGACTCTACAGAAAACAGGCTCCTCAGCATGGACAATGAAACAAGAGCACCTCCCCATGGCCAGAGTTGAGCATTGCCTCCATAAGCCGGAGATGGAAAGGGAAGCTTTTGCCTTTGTTTGTGTGTTGTATGTCATTATTCACTATATAACTGGCATTGAATGCTTGCCTATATATTTGTACTGTAATCCGCTCTGAATCCCCTTGGGGAGATAGAGCGGAATATAAATAAAGTGTATTATTATTATTTTCTGTAAGCATTCAGAAGCAGCTAGATTGCTGTATCTTTCAGTCTGCTTCAAGAAAATTGAACCCAGTGTATTGGCAGCTACTGAGAATAAACAGCATCAGCATCAAAATCAACACCACAAGCATACAATTCAAAGGAATAACATAAAATAAACCATTGTGTGGAGCAAGGCAGTAATGGTGTCAATGACTGCTACCTGATGCTACACATATTAATGCACTTTGTTGTTTTGAGAATCTAAACATAATGGATTACAAAGCTATCAACATTTCAAGGGGCAATCCTTGAAAATCCTGTTTAAATGCACTTTTAATGGAAATAAAATCCATTGGAATTACCGTTTTGTTCTTTTCACAGAGATCTTTCAGTAAAATATCTAATTCGTTTTCATCCATATAGCCATTGCCATCCTGAAAACAAACAAACAAGACAACATAACCAATTGAATTATTTCACCTCACAGAACATGTACAATAAAATGGTTAAATCTGTGAGAGCTTACATTTTTTTAAAGTCTACTTACTGAATCAAATGTATCGAATGCTTTATTAAACTCTTTCGAACACATTTTGACACCCTAATAGTCAAAAGAAAAAGGAAGTATTAGAACAGCAGTGGCTGAGATGTTGATAGGTGTGCATCTAATATGCACATATGTGAGGTCATATTTAAAATGTTGCATACCTGAAATTTAATGAGAAAATTCTCGTTTACTGGAAGCAATCTTTGGAGAAAACAGAAGGATAGTTGAAACAATTACTGAGCTGCTATAATAAGTAATCAATATTGACTTCACATACATTTTGAAGAATGCTGGCATGATTATTAGTAGTAGTATTAGTATTATTATCATATACCATAACATTTAAAATTGATTCGCATTTAAAAAATAACAATACAGCTAAAATGTAAAAATAGGAACTTTAAAATATGCACAGAATTTAAACAATACACTTGAAATGGTAAAATACAATTTAAAAGATAAATGCTATTAAAGTAGAGTTTTAAGCAATACAGCATCCTTAACCTAATCTTTATAAACATTGACTTTAAAATTCTATTGGAATAGAAAGGTTTTCACTCGCCAACAGAAAATGCTGAGAAACAATCTTGGTGCCTTTGGGATGTACTCCCAAAATTCCTTTGTGCATACTTCTTGTTCAAATGCTTTTAGGATGTGATCCCTGTGGCACCTGGGAGGTCATCTTAGTGGTCAAATAGTCATTTTAATCCCTTTGAAGTACTGAGAGTGAGGGCTCCACTGTCATAGAAGATACCTTGGATATCTCCTCATGTGGGAACTCCTACAACTCCCACCCTCCAAGGACAAGTGCTCGGATTTTGGAAAAGAAGAAACAGATGGGACATACGGAATAAGGAATGGGACAGTTGGGATAGGATCTTAATCCACAGTTTCCCACGAACCCCTCCCAGGTTCCAGACTCACCACCTACCACCCAATACAGGGGAAATGTACACAACCCATGAAAATTATTTCCAAAATTTCCTTCCCATTATTTGGAATGGAAAGCAAACAATTTTTTCAAAAATTAAAATACCAATACAGTCCAGTTTAGCAGGAAAATCCTGCCAAATCTAAGCTTGGTAGAGATTTGGATGAATCTATTCATGCACTTTAAACTCCACAGTGCTCACTAGGCTTGTGCATTTCAGCTGAACCGCTATCCATTTCTGTTGGCCAGGTTCCAGTAGAACCCTGTATCTGTTTTTGCACGTCTCCCAAAAACGGGCAGGTAACTGGTTAGCCGTTTTCATTCTGCAGCCGGAAAATAAGGCTAGATCCATCCCACTGGTGGCAATGAGTGGGCTCCCAGGCTCCCCTTTCCGTTCCTGGGATCCTTTCCTTTTTCCTCTTAAAGGGAGCCTGGTTTCAGCGACAGGGTTAAGGAAGCAGACAGAGCTTGCCTGCTGCATGATGCCAAATAGAGGAGGAGGAGCTGTAAACGGCTGCCACATGGTCCTGCAATGGACGAAAAAATGTGATGGATGGGTCCTTGCCGTTATGGCCATCCAACCAAGCTGAAGAAGCCAGATTGGCTGAACGAAAATGGCTAGAACAGATCCATGCACAAGTCTAGTGCTCACCAGTTAAAACTGCCATGCCTTTGCGTTTTTCTTTATATAAGAAAAGTTTTATTTTTAATAAATAGGGAGGAGGAGGCAGATTTATTTTTCAAATACACTGTTCTTTGGCCATTCACCATATTTCTGAGGTTATTTTTTCCCCTTTCGCTAGATTTCACTTCATGCTTGTTGCTGATCTCCATTTTTTCTTCTTCTGTAAATATACATACCTGGCCATTTCAGTCAGTTCCAGTTTTCCATCATTGTTTTCATCAAACATCTTGAGCTGAAATATTATTATATGATTGTTATGTTAGCATCTTCTACAAAATAAGAAAAAGAGAAAAGTTTCCCTAAAATTGCCACTGATTTATTTATCAGGATATGGACAATCCTTGATAATCCTGAATGAAGCTCCTAAGAGATGGATATCTTGACCTTCAGTTTTTAAATGTTGTCTCGCTTTAGCAGACTTCTTTAAAATGAGACTCTTTCCATATTAGATATCATACAATTCTTGTACTTACTTTTTAGCTCTTTATATTGCATGGGTATAAGAGTTCCACTTATAGAGCAGGATACTCATGTCTTTATTCCCCTTTACCCTTTATACTGGAAGGCAGAGATGTCCTCCAGAAAAGTATGAGAAATGGAGGATTGGATGGATTTAATGCCTCCCTCACTTTTGTTCAAGGAAGCCTCAATTTTATCCAATACCATTTCATTCAAGACCGAGTACCTTAGATCCACTGTAGTAATTTTTATTATGATTGTTTATTTATTGTCTTGTAACCATTTATTTCTTACATATTAATTGTTACAAAAAATCATAGGCTGTCTTAAACACATGTCAATATATTCAATAAACAAAATAAAGCCAGGCCAAGAATCACGTAATAATACATTAATGTTGGAATCAAAAATATGTGAAACTTTTTATATTAGCTATTTACATTTCCTCATCACCAACCAAGGCATATAGTTTTCCACAACAGCCAATTCCCTATAACTAGGCCAGAGTTGTAATTTTGCAAAAACAACACTGCTGAAGGCAGCAATTCAAAATTTAACTGGGACAATGCCAGAATACCAAATTGGTTACTAGTACCATGGAGGGCAAGCAATGCAAGCCGTTGTTGAAAGCCTCATGAGTTCCAATCTGCCAACACCACTGCTGTGAAATAGCCTCCCATATGTGAGAGCTTCTACAAACTCTGTGGAAATGAATGAAGGCTTCACTACAGGAGGACCTGTTAGGTTTCCCCAAAAATAATTTGAAATTTTTTGTTCACTGGGACAGCAGAATTCCTCTTTAGGCATTCATTGTTTTTGAAGCTTTTCCCACTTTCTGATGCATAATTCAGAGCAGGGTGTGAGAGATCAAAATATGATAATGAGAGAGGGTGTTTTAGTGAGGTTGGGAATGAATGTATTAGCACAGAAACTGGGTGAACTAAATTTCCCAAATGAAACAGTTGCTACCATGCTTACCATGATGTCTGTATATTCTGACAGCTTTGAATCGTCAATCTGCTTGTTTGCCTTCTGTAGTAAGTCTTTCAAAAAGCTCTGCAACAAAACAAATATGTCAAAAAATCAGTATATTCAGCTGGGTTAAGAGCGAGATACTATACTGTATGACATATACTCATACAAGGCACGGCTGTGGAATGACCTGCTGGATGAGATTCAACAGCTAAATCAGCTGTCAAAATTCAGAACACAACTGAAGAACTATCTCGTCTGGCAGGCCCACCCATTCAATATTAAATTGTGAATTTTAACCTCCATGATATTGGCCTTTGCTTGTTTGTTTGTTTGTTTGTTGTTTTTTCTACTGTTATTGCAACAATTCATGCTTATCCAGGAATAACAGGATTAGTTTTTAAGTAAATGATGTATAGAATTACCCTGTAAAACTGCATTATATCATATTAAGGAAAGAAGATATATATTTAAATAAAGTTAAGGCATTAAAGTCAATGTCAGTATTGTGCCTACAGCAGGAAGCAAGAACTATGCTGAAACACATACGTTAATGGGATAAAAATGGCTGCATTTTCATTGGTTAGAATTTAAAGGACAAAAATTTAGATATTGAGTAACTCTACAGCTGAGCAAAATTGATCCAGATGCTTTCTGGGTAAAAACTGAAACAGGCTCTCAAGTTATCTAAGGAAAATCTATGAAATTCATGAGGCAACCATAAGGTGACTCGAAGACACAAACACCTCTTGTATACAAGACAGCCAACTAAATCATATGCATATACCAGACAGGCTATATATAGGTAGCTCTGTTAGATCAATAGCAAACATAGCCATGGCAATGACAAGGTATGTGATAGTAAGAGATTTCCTCCAGCTTTCCATTTGCCTTGTAAGCTGCTACTTAATCCTCCAACCAATCATGATGCAGCTAAGCCCACTTAATTGCCCACACTAAGTTATGCACACAATACTCTATTAAATATACAATTTCCATTCCAATAGATAGATAGATAAATTGATAGATAAATCGATATCAGTAGTCCTCAACCTTCCTAATGCCATGACCCTTAATACAGTTCCTTATGTTGCAATTACCCCCAAACATAAAATTGTTTTTGTTGCTACATCAAAATTGTAATTTTACTACTGTTATGAATTGTAATGTAAATATGCAGGATGTATTTTCATTCCCTGGACCAAATCTGACAGAAATACCCAATACGCCCAAATCTGAATAATGATGGGGTTGGGTGAGGGGGTTGATTTTGTTATTTGGGAGTTGTAATTAATCTACAATCAAAGAGCATTCTGCATTCCACCAACAATGGAACTGAACCAAACTAGGGACACAGAACTTCCATGACCAAAAGAAAACACTGAAAGAGTTTGGTAGGCATTGACATTGAGTGTTGGAGTTGTAGTTCATCTACATCCAGAGAGCACTGTACTCAAACAATGATGGATCTGGACAAAACTTGGCACAAATACTCAAAATGTCCAAATGTGGACACTGGTTGGGTTTGGGGAAAATAGACCTGGGAGTTGTAGTTGCTGGGATTTATAGTTCACCTACAATCAAAGAGCATTCTGAATCCCACCAATGATAGAATTGGGCCAAACGTCCCACACAGAACCCACATGACCAACAGAAAATACTATGCTTTCTGATGGTCTTTGGTGACCCCTCTGACCCCCCCCCCATGACACTCCCAGGGGTCCCAACCCCCAGGTTGAGAATTGCTGATATATATGGAGGAGGCAGAACTGTTTGTATTCTGCTTTGCTCCCCAACCTCCATTTCTATCTGTTTTTGTCTAATTTGGATTCCTAGACAGAATTTCCTGTGTAAAAAAAACCAAAAAAAAAAAACCTTGTCATTTAAACTAGCCCGCTGTCCTGCTTTGAATTTAATGCCACTGTCAATCATCCAGAGGTGGGGCCTTCTCCTTCAAAGATTGATTCCATAATTGCATAGCTCCCTTTTCTGCTAGTAAATTTGAAGGAAAGCAGGAAATCGCTATACTGACCTTCAAACACAACCCCCTTTTTGTTTTCCCAACAGAGCAGTCAATTGTCCTAGTTTAGTGACATTTAAAGTTCTTTATTAAGAAAGACATCCAAAGAGCTTGGGAATTGCAAATGCATATTGGCTGGGAGCAAAACACATACGCACCTGTTCTAACTCCTTTAATACTATTCTGTGGAGGATTGTTCTATTCCGATATTATGAACCAGATTTTTAGCTTATAGCACTAATAGAAAGTTATTGGTTAAATGGCATGAAGGAGAAGCTTTGTGTGGAAGGACTTAGTTGTAATATGAAGCTGGTGAAATAAGTACCCAAGGAGGGATTTTGAGCAAGAGAGCTGAATCCAACACAAGTAGAGGGTACCAGCTTGCAGAACGTGGTCCTTTAAATTTCTGAATGATATAAAATACTGTGCCTTTTACCAGAAAAGTTACCAAGATGGTAAAAGGACTTGAAACAGAGCCCTTGGGGAGCTGGGCATGATTAACTTGGAGAAGAGGTGATATGATATCAGTCTTTAAACATTTGGATAAGATAGAGCAAGCGTCTATCACCCATATTGCTAATATTTCAAGAGGTGACGAGGTAACTCAGGCACTCTTGGAGATTTTTTCTGGCTTTTAAAAATGCATCCACTGTTTTAAATTAATGTTGACATTCATTTAAAACACCCCGAGACCTTTCAATATAGGGTGGGATCCAAATGGTTAAAAAAATAAATACAGAAATAACAGAAAATCTTCATAAGGTATTAATCTTCATATCACACTTATATAAATAAAATGTAACTTGCAATTATTACCATGATGCTGTACAGGCAGTCCACAAGTTACAAACATCCAACTTACAAATGATTCACAGTTAAGAACGGGGGTGAGAACAGAAATTGACTCTTGAAAGAGTTATCATAGAGAAAAAGTGTCTCCACTGAAGCTTTATCGCTAATCCTTGTTTCCATAACAAGCCATTTTTTTTCAAAATTCAATTATCACAGGGACAGAAAGTGAAGTGAAGTCTTCTAAACAGGGGCACAGACAGTGAAAGAAACACCACAGGGTGTTCACCCTTCCCTATGTGATCCAAAGCTTAAAAAATTATATTTTTGACTGGAGTTACACTTTTAAAAAGTATCCGTTCTGACTTAAATACAAATTCAACTTAAGAACAAACCTACAGAACCTATCTTGTTTGTAACTTTGGGAATATCTGTATTTGACTCCCACTCTTGAAGTTGTATAGCCCATAGGGCCGTGCTTTGGCACAGCGGGTTAAACCACCAGCTGCAGAAAATCTTGCCAATTGAAAAGTTGACAGTTCAAGCCTGGCTTGGGGTGAGAACCCAACCGTCAGCCCAGCTTCTGCTCACCTAGCAGTTCGAAAACAGTAATGTGAGTAGATAAATAGGCACTGCTTTGGCGGGGAGATAATAAAAGGCACCCATATGGACATTCTGGCATATGGAGTGACAGCATTCCCCCCTCCCCCCCCCCCCGGTGGCCAGAGTCAAGCATAGCCCCCAGATGCTGGAGATGGGAAAAGATGGGAAGCCCTCACCTCTGTTTATGTATTGTCTGTCTTTGTTAATTGTATAACAGCATTTACTGCTTGCTGTATATGTGTACTGTAATCCGCCCTGAGTCCCCTCAGGGCAGAATATAAATAAAGTATATTATTATTATGTGATGAGCTATTTGTTTAAAGCAGCAGTAGGCATAGGCAAGTATGTCTCTCCATATGTTTTTGAATTACAGTTCCAGTAATTCCTCATGATTAGCTATGCTGCCCATATTTGCTGGAACTGTATACAGAGAGCATTTGGAAGATGACAGATGCCCATTCCTGATGTGAATAAATTCCTATATTACCTTCAAGAAAGAGAAATTGACAAAATTTCTGTATTAAAATGTTGTTATTTGTTTTACGGGAATATTATTGCCTTTTAATGTTGATATTTTGTATCACTGGACGAGACTTACAATTGTCTACTTTAAAGCGCTTAAAGACAGATTTTTTTTCATTTGCAGCTTCACAATCTCCAACATTTACTGTTTTGTATACAAAAATGTATACAGAAATTTCTGTATGCAAAAATGTGTACTCTAATTGCCAGATTTCTTCTCCCAGGAATTTACTATCACTCTTGTCATCATCATTTTTCCTTTGCAGTGGACTGGGCTATAAAGTCTAAATAAATAATCATGCAACATTTCTTACCTTGAGTTCTTCAGCATCAATAAAGCCACTGTGGTCACTATCATATTTCCGCCATGTCTGGAATGGAGAAATTAATCATTTGAAACAAAAATGGCAGAAAGAGTTTTTGATCTTGATAGTTTACATTTACCAAAAAAGGTTTTTTTTTCTGTTGGTTACCTGCATGAAGTCTTCACTTGATTTCAGCTGCTGGCATCTAAAGAATAAGAGGAAGTTCTCTTCTGTTGGTAATATCTGAGCAAGCTGTAAAAGAATAAGTTTAAATTTTATTTAAATCCAATCTTTACTGAAAAATAATAGTATTATATTAATGCTTGGTAATATATATTAAAATAAAACAATAATATTTGTTATTAACTTATGAACATAACAAACATATTGATAAAATAAATTATAATGCCAGAGACAGAGGCATCAACAGGAATATGGATTCAATTCACTTTTTGGATTCAACCCACTTTGAATCTACAGCAAGCCTGTAGCCAAGAGGGTGGTTTTGGGGTTCAAATCACCCCCCAAAAAAATTCAGGTCAAAAAACCTGCTGGTTTACTCACGAATTTTAACTGGTTAACCAAATCACCATGCTAACTCTATGGGAAGCAAAAAATAGAGTTCCTCAAGAACTACAAGCACTGTCTCAACCAAATTTTCATTTGGTTACCTTTCTACCAATTTAAATTGCTACAACAGCAATAGCTGACATAGTGGAAATGGCCAAGTTGGTCTACCAACAGCCGGCAGGCAAAGCCTAAGGCATGAGGCAGGGGGGATTTGACCTGGATTGTAGGTGGAAACTGAGGTGTCTACTACTGATTCAGATAATCCAAGCCCTGCCAAAGAAACCATGGAACAAAAGCAAAGAGAAGAAGCTGTGCCATTATTAAAACTTGGACTTTATAAGAACAAAACTGTTTCTGATGACCAAGTGAAAGCTCAATTAGTGCAAAATCCACAAATTCCATTACAAGGATATGTATTTCCTGTGGATAAGAAAAGGCATCTAAGTTTTCAACCCAAGTGGTTCAGCAGATTTCCCTGGTTAGCCTACTCATTTCATGTACAAGGTGCACTCTGTAAGTATGGTGTGGTGTTTGGAGGAGAAGGGAGGGGAGGTTGAAGGTGCTCATCAGAAGCTTGGTTCATTGGTTGCTAAACAGTTTGTGTGATGGAAAAATGCAATAGAAGTCTTCAATAGACATCAGAACAACTTGCGCTCAGCTGAAAACTTATAGCTAATTCACAGTGGAAAACGTCTTGATATAACTCATCATCATGATAAAGGAAATAAGAAAATAGAAAGAAACTTCTGCCAATTGTAGAAACTATTATCCTTTTTGTCCGACAAGAACTTGGGGCCCTTCCAGACAGGCCCTATATCCCAGGATCTGATCCCAGGTTTTCTGCTTTAAACTGAAATATACGAGTCCCCATTACCAGATAATCTGGGATAAACAGAAAACCTGGGATCGGATCCTGGGATATAGGGCCTGTCTGGAAAGATCCTGTCTTAAAGAAGGAGCAATGATGTAGGACCTATTACCTGTGAAGAAGCTTTGCACAATGGTGGTAATTTCAGGGTCTTGTTGTGATCACATGCCAGATTAGGAGATACTGGCTTCAAAAGTAATTTCAGGGGGAAAGGTTTCAACCCCTCCCGAATTTTCTTTCTGGCTATGGACCTGATCTGCAGTCCTTTCCAACTTGGACCTACTGGTATTTTCCTTTTCTAAGGCCCCTTCCACACAGCCATATAACCCAGAATATCAAGGCAGAATAACCCACAATATCTGAACTGGGTTATCTGAGTCCACACTGCCATATATCCCAGTTCAAAGCAGATACTGTGGAAGGTTATTCAGCTGTGTGGAAGGGACCAAGAAATCATATTTTATGAAAACTGGTTTTCATAACTATATGGATTAATTACCAAGCATATATATGATTGAGGACTAGAGAAGGACTACTTTCCCACTATAGATTTCAATCAGCTTCAGATATTAGTAGAGAGAAGAATCAAATAATTATTCCTTAATAAGAATTCTGGCCTCCTTCAATGAAATTGTCCAGGAACTTAAACGAAATTGAGCAATATGAGTCAGCCAGCCCCCACAAAGGGAGAGTGAGAACAGCAAATAAGATATGTGATTTATGAACAGAGGCTGGATGAGCATCTGTCAATAGTGATTTGTGTTGCATGGCAGAATGGGGTTGGGCTGGATGGCCCTTGTGGTCTCTTCCAACTCTATGATTCTATGACTTCTAGGTGGGAATGATTTTGACTCTTTGCAATGCCAGATATTTAGACTCTGAGGGAAAATTAAATTGGGGTCAGAATTCTTACTTCTGCCTTCAATTGCCTCCCCTCTCATTTCTATTTCTATACCATTGGCTATTTGGGATATGTTTTCCATTAAATGGTACCCCCTTAGAGCAAACTATAGTTTTTAATTTGACACCAATGCCAAGAAATAGAAACTAGCGTTTACCTCTTCACTTGTATCTGTTTCTCATATCTCTCCTATCTTCCCATTTTGTATAAAACATTCACATTTCATACCACCTAAAATTCATGCACATGGATCCCAAATTGAGAACTCACCCATTGCCAGGATGGTAACATGAAACCTTTATTTCAGACAAGATGAAAATGCAAGAGAACAGAAAGCATGAGACTCTTGGATTTCCTGACCCTTTCTCTGCCTCATAGTGGTTTCTATATCCCAAACTATCCTATTGCAAACAATCCTTCAATTATTTCAATCTGAGACTGAGTTTAAAATTTTGTAACGTAACCTTTTGTCCCAGCCCGATGTGATCTGGAGTTCACCTCCCTGCTTATTGCCTTTACCTGAGCTCTGTGACTGCGGTGCATTGGGACCTTACTTGTCCTCAGTCCTGTCTCCCTAATCCATCGCCTCTTGCTTTAACACATTTGGATGAGCTGGAAATAGAATGTCTGTGTTTCCAGGATTATCATTGCAAAGGGTTTGTTCATAAGCAGACATTTAAATCCATAGCCACAAGATATTCATGCAATCGTTCAAGTTGCTCGGTTGAATGGGAAACACTAAATGCTAGACTGTGTATTATTATCATCAAATTAGAGTAACTTGAATAGTTCGTTTTAGCCTAGCCTAAAAGAAAACATGATATGTCTGCTAATTTTTCATATGACTCGAGGCCTTAACATGGAAACACATTCATATTCTAGTAACTTGAAATTATAACCTTGTGAGTTCATGTGTTTCTTTCATAGCCGGAGTCCGAAATGTTTGATGTTTTGCTTCAAATGTTAACTTAGATTAAATTGAATTTCAGATTTTACTTAAACTAATAGGAGATGTATACAATTGGTTAGGGTAGTTTGGGTTCAGCAATCTACCCAGTTTCTTTCTGTATTACCTATGATTCAAAGGGACGTTGGAAGCTGGGGTGGATCTAGACTGTAGAATTAATGCAGTTTGACACTATTTTAATTGCCATAACTCAATGCCATGGAATCCTGGAAGCTGTAGTTTTACCAAGTCCTTAGCTCTATCTGCAAAATAGTATTGGTACCTCACCAAACCACAACTCCAATAATTCCATGGCACTGAGCCAAGGTAGAAAAAGTGGTGTCGAACTATATTAATTCTATATATGCACTCACACCTTTGGGGGGCTGTATGAATCCCACCCCCAGGCACAGCTAATTCAGAATACTTTCAAATCAGTACATCATTTTATGAGACCTATCTCTTAAGTCACAGAAGACCACACCCAATTTGCAAGTGGTCTCTATTTGAAAAGCTGTCTGTAACAACTCTAGTTTAAGAAAAATACCAATGGAAAGCAGGGAGAAAAGTAGCCACTGTATTTCTTTCTGAAAGCTTGAGGAGAACCACTGCCAGTCAGGGCAGACAATACTAAGAGAGATAGATGGGCACAAAAAAAAGCAGAGCCAACAAATGACTGTTCCCAATATGGCATGTGGACGCACTTGTCTGACCTTCTCAGCAAGACAACACCCCCCACCTCCATCCCATGTAGGATGGTTGAACATCTTGTCAGCTATTTTTGCAGCCCCAGAAAATGCATTGCCATTCCTTTGTGACTCATGCCAGCAGCCATCATGCAGGCCAGCCAGCAGATATGTTTAATGGTTTTCTTCCCCGACTGTGACTGGCAGGATTGTCAAGCACCAAATAAACAGCATATATCACTGGAAGACTCAAGTCAGGAATCAGGATAATAGACAGTGCAGGATTTATGCCAAGTTAAATAAACTGCAGTTTAGGGCCTCTACAGCTCAAAAAAATTCCTTGGCTTAGAAAACCCTTTGAACACCACAAGTCAACAATCTCTATCATCATCATCAACAGCAACAACAGCAACAACAACTATTTTAGTTATGTTCTGCCTTTCTCCCCATGGGGACTTAAGGTGACTAACAACCAAATAAGCTTATAACGATTTAAAACAAAACAAACACAGAAAACAATTGAATATTTGTGTGTGGATTCAATGTTAAAATACAATAAATGCAATTAAAATTACATTTAGAACTCACCAAAGCATATATACATATGAGACCGCTTACACTTAATATTTTGTGGAGGCTACAATGTTTAATATTATTTTGGGGATAAGAAAGTATCTATTATTATAGAAACATTCTATGTTGAAATCAGACTTTATTCTCTTCGTCAATTGCTCAGTTAAGTTTTGGTTTGCAGACTATGGGTGCATGTACACAGTAGCATTAATGCAGTTCGACACCATTTTAACTACCATGATTCAGTGCCTTGGAATACTGGAAGTTGCAGTTTGGTGAGGCACTAGCACTCTTTGGCAGAGGAGGTTACAGCTCCCATTATTTATATTTACATCTATATATCATCAAGAGTTAAAAGGTTAAGGTTTCCCTGACATTAAGTCTAGTCGTATCCGACTCTGGCGGGTGGTGTTCATCTCCATTTTTAAGCCAAAGAGCCGGCATTGTCTGTAGACACCTCCAAGGTTATGTGGCCAGCATCACTGCATGGAGCGCCGCTACTTTCCTGCAGAAGCAGTACCTATTGATCTACTCATACTTGCATGTTTTCAAAATGCTAGGTTGTCAGATGTTGGGCCTAACAGCAGGAGCTCAACCCGCTCCCCGGATTCAAACCACCAACCTTTCGGTCAGCAAGTTCAGCAGTTCAGCAGTTTAAGCCACTGCACCACCAGGGTAAAGAAAAAAGGAAAGGTGACGATTCTCTGT